CCATATAGGGTTTCTGAGGAGCAGATGAATCACCAACCTTGCAGCTCAAACTGACTTTGCAGTCCATCACATTAACCCACAGTGCCACAACACTACAGTTTCATATTAACACCTCCCACAAAGGTTAGACATTAACTAATGGACTGCACATCAGATACCCAATTTATGCAGGGGTGCAGTGAGGGTGGGACCGAGGGAGGCCTCGCCCTGGGCACATGTCCAGTTGAACAGATGTGCAGGTGAGATGTGGAGTTCCATCCCGAGGTCTCTAGGGGAGCACTGAAGGTGTAGACACTATCACAGTGTGACACCAAACTTCCAGATTTCCATACAAGACCAAAGTCCGCAGGATTTGAGATGTTGCATCACCCATGCCTCAGTGCTGGGGCAGATGATTCTCTCTCCAGTAAGCACTGCTTACACCCAGGCATCTCCACCCCCAGAGCCCCTAATCCAGTTAGCTCTTCTGCCTCCCAGGATGTGGGCCTGCGGGAAGTCACATGTTGAACCATGGAGGTGATGGACTTCTGTGCATAACCACTACCAACATATATTCATCTTACAATTGTGGGGGCAACTTAGAGATGGCCTCTGGGACCCCATGTGCTAACAAATCCCCTCAAATAGCAAAAGGATCCACCACCTGGGCTATTTAAATTCCCTTCTGTCTTCTCTGCCCCAACATCCCAAGCCTGACCATTTTTCACTCCTACAGACCTGGACCAGCTTCCAAGGTGGGCAGAGAGAAAACATCTTTGAGATCTCAGCTAAGCTCTATTCTACTACAAATGGAAACACTGACTCCCAGATAGAAAAGGGAATGGTCCAAAATCACCATATGAAATACCCCCTCCACTGTTGGTTTTCCCCAATTCATCTTAAATCAATGACCCTTCTTCACACAGCACTTCAGCACTTCGGAGAACTGTTGAGGTTTCCTGGCAGAAGAGTAAGGATGGGGAGTGGGAATGATGCTCTCACACATATTATGCTGGATGATCTTCCTCCAGCCTGGAAGCCCCTCCATGTAGAATATAACTACCCCAATTCATTACTCCCATTACAACCACAGATCACCAGGGAGTCCTGTAGTCACCCCCTCATCTGTCCAACTCCCCATCAATGCCTAACAATTGGAACAACAGTTAGATCAACTGAGACACCCACAAGAAAGACCTGAGAGAAATGGGACACTCTCTGGGCAGAGATCCCTGGGACTTACAAGTTACTGAGTTGTGCTCTCTGGGTGGGCAGATGCAGTCTCCAGATGATCTTGGGACTAGAACAAGGAGAGTGGGAAAAGTTAACGTTACCACTGGAAGCCTTCATCGCAGTTCAAAGCCTTCTCAATATTTCCCTCCAACTCACCTGGTACATTCAGAACCTGGGGCGCACACTATGCAGGGAATATGAGGCATGGGATGGAGGACCCTACTGACCACACTCACTCATGAGGCCACGACTTCCTCACCTGAGACTGGCAGCTCCAGGCTGTCACTGGGGGACGACAATAAATAGGGATTGTTCTCAAAAAAGCTGTAGCATCTGAATGTCAACGTGTTGTTAGGGATTGAAGGGTCCACAAAAAACGAATCCTGGAAAAGCCCACTGGAGCGTTGCTGCGAGACTAGCCTCCCGAGTTGCCTGTGTTCTCTCTCCTTATACAGAATGAACATGCTAGACCCCAGCTGTGAGACACACTGGAGGGTCACATTCCCTCCGGAGGAATCCATAAAGCTCGACAGGACTGAGAGGGTGGGTCTCATGTAGGCTCCTAGAAGAGAAGAAGGCAGATGTGTCCCATAGTGACTCAGACCATGTCATGTCACCAAAGAAGGGCTGACCCTGCTCTGAGGGTCAGAACCTGAGGTTACGAGCTGAGTGTCCTCTCACCTATGAACATCAGATCCAGAGGGTCACTGTGTACTGCTGACTGAGTGTGGCTGAGATAGTAACAGTGATATTGTCCTGCATAGTCAGGTGTCATATATTGAATGAAGAACTTGGCCTTGTTCCTGGGCTCCAGTGGGCATTGTCTGTCCCATGGCTCTGTTATTCCTCCTTTATACAAGTGGTATTCCTCTGCCTCCAGGGAACCCTGACACCAAATGGTTACAGACTGTCCCAACATGATCCTAGAGTCTGGCTCAGCCCAGATGGTAGGTTTGGGGAGGCTTCCTGGAAGGGAATCAGAGTGGATTAAACAGGATTCTTTACTAACCTAAGTTCCATCTGCACTTAGCCCCAC